ATTATTATTATTATTATTATTATTATTATTATTATTATTATTATTATTATTATTATTATTATTATTATTATTATTATTATTATTATTATTATTATTATTATTTGCTCGGGGATCCGGATCCGGGCCGCCTGTTACTCCGAGGGCAGCCCGAACCTTCTGGCGGCGAGCGGAGCTTTACTCCCGAAACGGCGCTGCGCTGCGCTGCTCCCCTTGGCACTTCGCTCTCGGAGAAAATGGAGCGCGACGGACTTTCCAGCGCGGATCAGAAGCTGATCCGGGAGAGCTGGCAGAAAGTGGGCGACAGCCCCCTGGAGCACGGCGTCGTCCTGTTCACCAGGTAGGGCAAGATAAGACCGGAGAGAGAAGGTGTGTGTGTGGGGGGGGGGGAATTGTGGTCGCCGCGTCAGGTTTGAGGCTGGGCATTTTAAACATCCTCCTTATCCTCAGCGAACTTAATTCAAAGCTCCCTCCGCCAGAAAAGTACCCCCTGCTGACTTGGGGTTTAATCCTGCTTCTCCCTTGTTTCCCTTCCCATTTCCCTCGTTTTTCGAGGCATCTCTTCCCTGTTCAGTGCCCTCCAGATGTGCTGGATTATCATCAGTTCTAATAAATTACTGTGCTGGAGAGGATGAGAATCGAGAGGTAGTGCTCCGTTTGGGAGCCCCACATGGGGCTTTGGTTGCAGGACAAAGCTTAGACACCAAGAAGCTGTGCTTTTCATCTCTTAGCTAGCTGGGAGCAGGCTCCCCTTTCTGTTTTTTTCCCATGCCTTGGTTCTTGAGTGTCTTATCTCCTCATTCAGATAACTATCGCTCTGTTCATGGGAAGCTAGCAAAACAAAACAAAAAGTCTGAGGGAAAAAACCAGAAACTGTTCTTCACATCTCCCATGCATTTGTGCGTTTGCTCCACTGTTTGATTTTAGAGTAAGGGTGCACAGTGGAGAGAACTGCCTGGCTAAATTCATATAAATGACAGCAAATCTTCAAGAATAAGGGTCATAAGAGATGGTTTTAACCACTTTAGAGCTTTAAGATAGAGGAGATTCCATTTCCATGCTGTGTTCTTAAAATGAGGAACGTACAAGCACAAGGTGTAGCGATTCACCAATTTGGGCAGGTTTAAAAATGCCAGTGGTAAATTTATGGAGGATGTGAGGCTCCAGGAGTATGTCCAGCAAGAGAGGTGGACTAAGCTTCAGTTATGGTGTCTGGGAACTTGGGTAGGAAGGAAAAGGAGGTAGGGGTTGCATAAAAGACTTGACGGCTTGTGAACTTTTGCTGGCATCTGTGATGAAAATGGAGCCCTTCATCAGATAGGCACTTGGGCTCATCCAGAGGAGCATTGTTTAAATCTTGCTGTGTCAGTCGAAGAGGTTCTCATACTATGGTCCTTGCATCCTTTGTAGAGAATCGTACTTTTGTTCTGGGACTGATTAAGTGTAATAACTAATAGCATTTAAACCCTCCTTTTTCCTTGAGTAATAGCCTTACCAGAGACCTAAAAAGTAATGGAGCCCAGATATTTATTTGAAAAAGTATTGGTCTCTGACAAGAAGATTCAGGCAATAAATTTGCCCTTTGCAAATTCTGTGACTTTGAGCCTGTTGTTGTCCAGCCTACCTCACAGGATTATTGTTGCGATGGTGGAATAATGGAGGATGGAGTGATAGTTGTACCACTTTTGCTCCTTAAGGAAAGGCAGGAAATAAATTAACACGTGAATTGTGCAGAATATCAGTTGTAGATTTTCTTTTTTGTGGATCAATATAAAGATGCATTTAAAAAAAACCCATGGGTTTTGTTTATGAAAACCCATGTGTACCCGTATGTGTATGTATAAAAGATTGTGGAGTATTTCTTTTTTTTCTTTATTTTTATTGCATTTTTTTCAAGAATACAAATCTCTTTTACATTCTTTACAACACTGTGACATCAGTGTTATACATACATTTACACACATAAAGAATAGAATAGAATTCTTTATTGGCTAAGTGTGATTGGACACACAAGAAATTTTTCTTGGTGCAAATGCTCTCAGTGTACATAAAAGAAAAGATACATTTGTCAAGAGTCAAGGATCATAAGATACAATACTTAATAAGTCATAGGGTACAATAAGCAATCAAATCATACTAGGAAACAGTCAATATAAATAATAGGGATACAAGCGACAAAGTTACAGTCACAGAGTCACAAGTGGGAGGGGATGGGCGATAAGGAGTGGTGAGAAGATTAATAGTTATAGTAGTGCAGACTTTGTAAATAGTTGGACAGTGCTGAGGGAATTATTTGTTTAGCAGAGTGATGGCGTTTGGGAAAAATATATATACTTTTAATTGATTGTGGAGTATTTCTATTGATTATTTAATGGATCATTACTGGCATAGAGATCCTTGGAAATGCTCCCTAAAAAGAAGCTTCAGAATACAACATTCCCTACCACTGAAAAAATGTAAAGCTCGAACTCACTACAGGGTCGTCATGTCCAAAACAGTTCCTTTAATAAGCAGGCAGAAGAGAAAGAACTGCTGAAATATGAAATCCATGCTGAAGGCAAAGAAGCAGTTCTGTAACTGTGCATTGGAGACTAAATTTGAAAAGTGTGATACACTCATGAGGCATTGTACAATGTCAAATCCTAAGAAATAGAAAATAAAATAGCATATAAAAATGCAGCATACTAATGAACTAGCCAGGAAATCTTTCTGTAATTCACTCTTCTTCCTGAAACTCTAATTGCATTTTGCAATTTTAGGAGGGACACTGTCGCCAGAACAGATCACTATCTATAATCAAAATAACCAACTTAATCACAAGAAATAAGATTCTTCTGGACTTTGGAAACCAGTTCTGAAAACCATTTTCTGGCTTTGCTCATTGAAATGCATTCAAATCCAAAGATTTGCAATATACCTTTTTTAAAAGGGAAAATATATCAAGAACTAATCAAAAGAACTGCATCAAAAGGCAATCAATATAAAAATATTGATTCAATATTGTGTTTTTTTTGTGTGTGTGTGTACAATCCAAGTCAGAATTTTATTTCTTATAATGTAAAAATGGGCAAAATGTGTGCACATTTCATGTAAATTGTAATATGGATGAATTATGAAGGATCTAAAAGAATGAAACTAGCCTACTTATGAGTGATATAAAAACTGATGGAAATTATTTTAAATTATTTAAAAACACGATCAATTTAAACTACACTGAGAATACATTGTAAAGCTTGAAATATTCAAAATAATTAAGCTAGTCCAATTATTAGTGCTGTAAGAGCTGATGGAGACAGCTATGAAAAATACAAGTGGATTCTTTCATACCTGAACATGATAAAGTTAAAGTTAAAAAGTTTCTTTTAAAGTGTAAAACTGGAGTTGCATTGATACACATTCTACAGAAAGTACAATATACGGTTGATCTTATAGTTTTTAAAGTTTTAACTTGCAAATATCATTAAAAGTGACTAATATAATCCGGTGGTTATGAAATTATACATTTGGGAGATTGAAAACCAATCTTTGCATTCCAAGGTAGTTATTTTCTAATTTTAAAAAATCTTTACAAAAAAACTCAATCTGGAAAGAATCCAAATTAAGCCAATTTCTATTATCTTCTGGCACTCTGATCCCTGAAGCAGCTTAGCAGATGTTCTTCTCTATCATGGTTTGTTATGTTTCACATTTCTACCATCTGAATGGTTAGTTTTGTTCATCAGTAATGTAAGGAAATTCTTTAAAGATGAAATTTGTCTGCTTCATAGCCAACGTTTTTAACTGCCAATACATCTGGGTTAATGGAAATATATTTTTCCACTTAATGTTTCAAATGTGCATCAAATGCATATAATCAGCCCACACATCCTGGAAACCATGGATAATAACCATGAATATCAAAATATATAGCACATTTACATATGGATTTCATATTGGTGGAAGGATTTTTCTAGTAAGGCAATTATATATATATAATTCTAGCAAGGCAATTATATATATATAATGATCCATATATACAAAGCTTACTCCGAGAAGCACAAAGTCGAAGACACAAGCCTGAAGATGATGAATGAGATTTCGTCGAAACGTTGCCAAGATACTTCCAATTTTACGCGGGAGAAAACCCGAATAACCAAAGATCCACATACAAATACCCGCGAAAATCTCAGAAAACAAATATATATATATATGGTATTCAGCTTTGTTCAGGTATTTTCCCACGTCATTATAGTTGTGCTTTTAAAGTTGTAGCAACGTTTCGGCAGAGTCTCATCTGCCATCATCAGGCTTCTGTATAGTGTTCGTCTGTGAGTCAGACTTTCACAGCCGTTTCTGTTTTAAATTTGGTGCTAGCCTACTGCTGTGCCAGAATGGTTTTTTCTTCATCCTGATTGGTTGGGAGTCTTAGTCAGTGTTTATTGGTCTTGGAGTTTGCTGTGTTCTGCTTGATCGGTGTTTCTAATATCTTCTGTCTAGCCCTAGCCACTATAGAAAACCCCAGAGATTGAAAAAAGACCTGAAAGCATGAAAAGAAGAGATGACTCCACCAGACTGTCAATTATCTGGAAGCCTGCACTCTCAAACAAAAAAATCTCCACACCACAAGCCAGGCAAACACCTGGGCACAAACAGACACCCCCCCCCCGATACCTCCAGCTCAAACACACCCCAACCAGGCACCCAGATGAAACCTAGCTTCCTAATAAATGATAGCCGTCCGTTTACTTGGAGCCAAGCCGCACTCCAATACAGGAAACACAATGTTGCCAGCCATCAAGACAAAAAAAGCTGCAAAACAGGGAGAAGATATTAGAAACACCAATCAAGGAGAACACAGCAAACTCCAAGACCAACAAACCCAGACCAAGACTCCCAACCAATCAGAATGAAGAAAAAACCATTCTGGCACAGCAGTAGGCTAGCACCAAATTTAAAACAGAAATGGCTGTGAAAGTCTGACTCACAGATGAACACTATACAGAAGCCTGATGATGGCAGATGAGATTCTGCCGAAACGTTGCTACAACTTTAAAAGCACAACTACTATGACGTGGGAAAATACCCGAACTAAGCTGAATGCCATATATACATACATACTGTAATTAAATGACTTTTTCAGTTTCTAATCTCAAAGAATGGAGGCTGATTTTTACTAGAAACTTCTGATGTCTTAAATATTGATGCAAGGATATGTCTTTTTGTGTAATTTATGGAAAAGAATTGAAAAACAAAAAACATTTTATAATAAGGGATACAGAAATCTAGGATTAATATAAATAAATTGGGGCCATACAGAAAAACCATTTTATTTCTCTCAGATGCTCCAGGGTTTAGTTTAAG